AACAGTGACTTGGCTTGGAAAGCTGATGCTTTTGAGACAGAGTGTAGGTTTGATTTTATAACACAAAAGCACATACAAGCAACATTTTTCTGCCAGAATTTATCCAAATTTTCCCAACACAGGCTAGCTACAGAAATAATTTTCTGAAGGCATTTTAAAGTTATTCCTGAACACCCTCTCTTCTCCAAGACATAACTGCTCTTAATGGGCTCATTTGCTTGATTTTAAAATTATTTAAAGATAGAGTTCTCTTCAGTTGAACATTACACTTATTTCTACCATGTTTCTTAGTGGCCTAATGATGCCAATAGCAAACTTCTGCAAGATAGGAAGGATTCATTACACGTTGCTTTAGCCAACAGTTCAGGTCCTTGGGATTAAATGCTGAACTTATGTTTGAGTCCTAAAAGCTACTTTAAGTAACCTAAAATGATTCATACTATTACCTCCAACTCAATTTCAGATCCAAAGATATAGTCATGAAGTCCATGTTAAGCTCAGGAGAGTTTTGTTGATGCCCTTTGCTTATTGCAGATTCAGCGTAAGTTTACTGAATGTACTATGAACATTTAGCTCAATCTGACTGCACAAGTCAACTGGAAGATCCTTCTGTTTATATTCAGTTTCTATGGCCATGCAGTTTGCCACATATTCATCTCCTAGCAGTTGTCCCCAAATGAGTAGCCCAAGTTCAAACTATACCTGCTTCATTACAAGGCTACCTAAGGTACTGATAAAAGCTGGGAAAAGTAGGCCAAGTGGCCCCACTGTGCTTAAAGCTGCCTTATAATCAGTCTATTTGTCCATCTCTATACAGTGACTGGAGGTAGCTTTCCAAGGTTTCAGCCAGAGGTCTATCTGGACCCTACTTGGACACTCCAAGAATCGGATATGGGAACTTCTGCAAGAAAAGTAAACGCTCCATCGCTTAGCTATGGTCCCTTTTATCTTGACAAATTAAGGAAAAGTACAGTAGTAACAGAGTTACAAACGTCCACGTTATGAACAACCTGTACTTACAAATTTGCAGACTGCCATAAACCCTGTACAAATCTCTCTAATGAAAAGCTGTGAACATTTCTAGGGAACTATGCAATGTGTTCGGTTACCCTTTTGTTTTCTTTAGCATTTACCCTTGTAACCATGCCCTTGAAGAAGGGATGGCAAAGTTTGAGGAGCAAGATCCTAATACAGAGAGGTTCACATAAAGGTTTACCATGCAGTTACCAATGTCCTCAGTTGCTATGAGGTCATTTATGATGAGAAAAAGAAAATGGTTGTACAGACAACCCTTGATGCCTACCTTCAAGAAAGCAGGAATGGAATTCATTCTTAACCTGGGGACTACCTACAATTCACCACTAAAAAGCTGCAGTCTCTCTTCTCCTCACAGTAGCACCAGACTGTTACTGGGTAGACATGGCAGTCTTGTTCTCTGGAATGACTCTTTCAGCTTTAGTGGGTTAGATGGAAATCAACATGATGGTGAGTAGCTCATGTTGTCTTATGGCCTCACTCTAAAGTGTAATAAAAAATAACTCTATAAGGCTATGTACATAAAAAGAGGGCTAAGTTCTTAGTGGTTATAATTGAATTTAATGGCAGCAGGTACATAGAATGCAGCTAAAAGCAGAAGGTATGCAAAATCTATACTGTGTCTGAAAACACAACTATTATTACAACTGTAAAACCTGTTTTTGTCTAACACTGTTTTTGTCTATTACTGTTCACTAATATTTTTCTATTGATGTCTTTACTGTTCAGTTTTAATTATCAATTTTTGAATTTTCTCTCTATATTGTAATTACTTTTTGCAATCTATTTTAAGTTATTGTTTTAATAGAAAATTGGGCTAAAATGGACAAAACTATTCTCAGTTTTCATGTAAGTCCTTAATGTAGCTCCATACACACAACAACAAAAATGAAAATGTCTATTACATAGAGCAAGAATCACCACCTAATCTGCAGACAGTTAACTACTCCTTACCCTTCATTTCATGGAAGAACAGAAGTCAACTAATAACATGAAATGACTTAGAATAGCTACTACTTCAAGAGTTTTCTTAAATTTGATCTGAATGACTTCTTTCAAATACTTCATGTGCCAGTTTTCACATTTTTTACACAGACTGATTACAAACAGCTAAACTTCAATTATGGCTTATTTATTAGTAGGTTGAGACAAAGGGAATCTGTTACAGCCAGAAAGATTCTAGGGCTATACCAGACATTAATGATTTCCTTGTTTAAATAATTAAGAAATTAAGGTAGAACTGATACATCTGTGAAATGTGTCCAAAGCATGAGGTTTCTAAGTCATTGTGCTTTCATGCAGTCATAGTAGTAAAGAGACTTTTCTGGTAAACACAAACATTGGAATTCTATGTTGCAATACTCTTTATCTCATTATCTTTACCATCTTTACTGGTAGGCAACTCACTCTTGCCTACCAAACATAGGTTGAAATTTTTTTTAGGTTGAAATTTTTTATTTAAATAAAAACATACTACCTACCAAACATAGGACCAAATGCCATGTTGAGCTTCAAAAAAACAAGACTGAAGCAACTGCTAGATCTTGCATGGATATGTGATATACAAATGAAGTAGTGTTCTTCATCCATGACAACTTGAGAGCTTGGACACTGCACCTGTCAAAAGTAACTATTTTCTCTTGCAGTTGTAAATGTTTAAAATTTGGAAGTTGTGAATTCCAGTAAGGAACAACAGGCAGTCATATGCATTTAGTTTGTTCCCATGTATCATGTTACTAGATAGCTCTTACATCAACTTATCCTATTATGTGATCAGAAACTCTGTATATCTGAATAAACAATTCTACCTTTTCTTTTTAATTATTCTGGAAATGTGAACCCATCACTGAGATGAGAAACACTGTCATCTCCTCTTTGTGGAATTTTCACCACAATATAGATAGCTACTTACAGGTAAGTGACAGATGAATATATGTTTTCCTCTAAGGAACAGGAACCCCTTTGAAATACTGAAGTCACCATGTACCTGTATTTATACAGTAGATAACAAAACTGCACATTAAATTAAAATGTGTGAGTGCTACTATGTATATCTTAAAATATCTGACTTAATTAATAAATGCTTTTTTTCAAAGCTATTAGCCATTTCTACCATGTGAATGGCATGACTTCTACAAGAGGTAAGCTTTTTAAGAGGGGGGCCTGAAAACCATAAAAGAAAAATAACAAAATCTTCCACTTGGATGCCAACATGTGTAAAAAGTCTTGCTGAATGTTTAGTATCATATAATTCTTCAAAGATATTTCAGATCCAAATTTAACTGAGAAACATAAGGACAAAGATTGGTCAAAGGACCAAGTCTGGTTCCTTTTGTTATTTAATGCTGACCTTTAGTTAATAGCCAGGAAATTAAGCAAGTAGAATTTACACCCAAGTAGAATTTACACATCTTAAGTGTCAGTCAGTAGCAAAACTTTTTTTAAACAGACAGACCGCTACTGCCTAATAAAAGATGTTCTGAGTAGTCTAATTTAACACAGGCAACTATTAAGTTTTTAAGGCATGGTAATAAAACAATAAAAACACTGACAGAGATACTGAAGAAGATAAAAATCATTCTTGAGATTATGGAGAAGAGTGAGATTTCACAGCAACACATGATTTGTACTTACATTAACAGCATTTTCACTAAGAGTTAGATAGTAAAGAAATAATCCCATTACATTAAAAAGGTTTTCGGAAAATGGACCTCCTGAAGCAACATTTCAAGGTCTCCTCTACAGGCAAATTATATAACCTATTTATGACTTTGAGCAGGCCCTGGGAAGTATGTTGTCCACATGTGATGCAACAAACACATAAGAACTTTGTGAAGAAAACAGCAGGGGTAAACGATATGCAACAGACATAACTGTGTTTATGATAGACTAAACACAAGAAATGCAGGTTGAATTTATCTTGGTGATATGGCAAACAGCTTCATGTCACTAAGCAATCTCAATATGCAGGCATGGGAGAGCAGATCAGATGAAGCATGGATGCTTGTTATAAAGCAGCAACAAATGAATTTTCTTTGGCTTATCTCAAGGTGACCTTCTATTCTTCTCTATATCGAAGAACTTGGGCCTGTCTTGCAGGCTTGCCTTGTAACCCCCAGTCAGCTAGCTGATCCCACACCAGAAGTTCCTAACTGAAAGGAGATGTGAAGACAGTAATCGGAAGATATAATGGTCATCACTTCTATGATATCTAACAGCAAATAGTTTTCTCTACCTCCAGAAGTCTAGCTACAAGTCTGCTAATGACTTTTGCAGATTTGTAAACATATCCTCCATGCACACAAATACATAACCTAGGAAAACAGAGAACACAAATAATGAAAGAGAATAGAGTATTTTTAGTGTGTATCCGAGAGTGCCAAGTTTGTGTGGAAAGAATGTGTGGCATATACTGACTTAACCTTTGCAGTTTCTAGTTAAACCTAATCTAGTTTTGTCAACCCTAAAGGCAAGTCAGTGTTTTAATTCTGTACCACCATCACAGCACTACAACAGCTTGTTTCCTATTGGCTGATACACAATGGAATTACCAGATAACCATTGTTTTAAAACATTCATTTAAAAAAATTAAACAAGCCATTTGTGACAAATTCCAGATGACTACAGCTGCCCAGAACATCACATAATAAGCTTTAAAAGTAGGGCATTCAGTAATAAAGGTTTGAGTGACACCTGCCTGCCAGAGAACCTGCTCTAAGAGGGAAGGCTAGGTTACCTTATACCACAAGTTCTTACCTCGTTTTTTCTAGCATTTCTGCAACCAGTAACTGTGCACTTCTGTACAGAACCAAAAAAGCAATCACCAAAGCACTTGTGTGCTATCCTGCAAAACCAATATTCTTTAGCACAAATCTGATGTGTGTGCACGTATTCCCTTTTCCTCTCAGTTTGAACACACAATTCTGCGTGCAAAAAAAATGGGGAGTGGGCTCACCATCACTCACCTTGTCCAACTCGTCATGCAGCTCAGCGAGGCTGGGCCTGATGAGCTTCTCGCCCAGACCGGCAGCTGTGTGCCGGTAGTAGTCTATCCTTGGAACAGCATCGATGGTGTTGTGACCAAAGGTTCGCAGGTAGTAGGTGTTGGTGTGCGTGTCATAGTAATAGTGATGATGTCCCCCTCCGGAATGAAGGCTCCCCTCGCTCAACACCGTGTCGCCGCCGTTCTGGAAGCTAACATTGCAGCCTTCCGAGCCGCCGCCGGGCTCGCCTGAGCTGTCGTCCCCGGTCGAAGGGTCCACAAAGTTCACCCGGAATCGGCCTTTGGCTTCCTCGCTGCCTTTGCCAGACCCTTCCTCGGGGGCTTTAGGAGGCGCGTCCGTCGTGTCCGCCTGTTCAGTCGCGGCCGCTCGGCCAGAGTTTTCTGCCACGAGGTCCACCTGAAAGCGGCTCTGGCTCGGCGTGGGACCCAACGGTCGCCCCAACCCGTCCCCAGCAGCTGCGGAAGCGGGAGCCAGCCCCGTGCCGGTCTCCAACGAAGAGCCGCCGGCACCACTGGGAGCATCTCCATCACTGGCCGGCAAACGAGGCGCTTCCTCAGCGGCTGCTGCATGGGCGGCTCCTCCTCCCGCAGCTTTCAGCCTGGGAGAGCCGGAGCGTGGTGGCGGCGGCGGCGTGTGAGGAGCCTGCGGCTGTTTTCCTTCCATTGCGCCTCTTCCCAGTGCGGCCCGGAGGATGAGCAGCTCCTATCACGGCTCCGAGCGACCCCTCTCTCTCTCTCTCTCTCTCTCTCTCTCTCTCTCTCTCTCTCTCTCTCTCTCTCTCTCCCCCTGCAGCCAAGCCACTTCGGCTCGGCGCTTTAAACTGCTGAGCGGCGCCCCGCCGCTGCCGGAGTCTAGTGTGCCGCACTCAAGAGGCAACGCCACACGCCGCGCCTCCTCGGCAGGCAACCGCCCTGCCCCTCCCCGCCTTTCTCTCCCTCCGCCCTGCCTTCGCAGCCGCCGCCGCGCCAGGTGATGATGATGCTCTCTCGCTAGCGCCGGCGGCGGCAGCGGCGCGGCTTCTCTAGTGTCTGCCTCCTCCTTCGCCTGCAGCGGGAAGTGCAGTCCCTCCTTCAGCGCCGTAACGGTCGCCGCCGCCCCTGAGGGACAGTTAAGGCGAGGAGGAGCGCGGCCGAGGGAGCCTCGCGCTTCCTTCTCCTCAGCGGCTCTCCTCGCCACAAGGAGCGCCCGAATACTCCACGCACCGCACGCCGCGCGCTCTCCTCACACAGGCATGGCCACCCGTGCTGCACCTTCCTCGAGAAGCCGCCACCCTTTGGCCTCCCGGGCCACGCCGCCGCCTGAAGTGCCCGCTGGGGGCAGCGACGACGTCACGCGCCTTGCTCGCCTCACTGCCTTGAAGGCCCCCAGCGGAGCGGAGCTCGCACGCCACGAAGGACCGGGCGGGGGGAGGCTGTTGGCAGGCTGGCCGATCCCGCCCTTGCGTTTGACACCCGCTTACACTTCCCTTTCCCTGCCCGGCCGAAGGGGCGAGCCCAGTCTAGCCGCGCGTGTATGTGTCCTACTTCGGGCTCGCTCCAGACGCCCGAGCAACACGAGCCAGCCACAGAGCTGCTCCTTCCTTGGACCCTGCGCTACACACACGCACCTACACAGACATGAACTGCCCTGGCACCGAGGAAGCCGGCGCCAAGCAGCCGCAGCGAGGGCGGGCGGGCAAACGAGAGCGCGGGTCAGCCTCGGCCAATCGCCTAGTAGCAGCAGCAGCAGCAGCAACGCCGCTCAGGGATGGGTCTTTAAAGCATCCGCCGCGAGAGAAGCGGGAGGCGGAGGCAGCAGCCGGATCGGGGAGGGGGGGATCCGGCCCGGCGAGGGCGGGGCGGCGTTGCTTCAGGCGCGCCCGCTTCTCCGGGCGCCTGGATGTGCCCGCCTGCTGCCGCCTGCTCGCTGCGTGCGCACCTCGAGGCTGTTTTCGCCCTCTGTCCTCCAAGAGACCCACCCGGACCTGCCGAAAGTGCCTTTCCAGAAAGGTCCGCGGCGCCTGGAACGGGAGGTGGCAGAGAGACGCTCTTCACTACAGCGGGGCGGGCCACCTGGCGACATGCAGCTGCCGCCGCCTGGCTGCGCTCAGGAAGGAAAGAGGGAGGAGAGGAGGAAGGAATCAACTGCGCCGCTCTGGCGCATCCGCCACTTCACGACGGAGCGCGAGGTTCAAGGCGCGCGCGCACCGGATGGCGCGTTACAATGCCTGGCACTCGGCCCGTGGCGGCCATGGGCGGGCCTCTTCACGCCTCCTGCCGCGCCGCCGGCGTAGGGCCGGCCGGTCGGGGATGGAAGTTTTCGGACCCAGACCTCGCCTTGGGCGTCGTAGTAACGAGCAGGCGAAGTCTCGCGAGGAGCCGTGCAGACGCGGCTGAAGCCGCCGCAAGCCTCCCCGCCGTTCCGGCGCGAACGGAGGGCTCCTTAACGTCCTAGCGAGCCTGCCTAGTCGTTGCACTGCGAAGTCTTTTCCAGCTTCTGTGGTGTTGCACTTAGGAAGGAAAAGGTCCCTACACTGCAGCAAGAGAAGTGGTGGTTCGTGTGAATTGGGAAAAGCTGCTCGGGTTAGGTCATTTGGATTAGTACTTGAAAATATATATCCTCTCCTGGGATGCTCAACTTGGCTCACATTTAAAAAGTTAAAACAATACTCCAGGCTAAAAACCGTATAGTCCTAAAACAATACACACAAACTAATGAACCAGCAGCACAGCTGTTTTTGATTATCGTCAGTTTTTCAGCATCCTTAAGAACAGTTTCTTCTTGACTGATACCACCTGTGATGAAGGCTACCCAGGCTTGAGAGGTGCTCTGATGAACTGAAAGATGCACCTTAGAAGATGCCCTGGGAAGGCAAGATGATAGGGAAGGTACGCCTTGAAAGCACAAAGAGTTTGAAATCATCTCATCTGCAGCAGTATGTGTTGTTCAGGAAAAGAAGGGAGTTGTGCTCTTGGCTTGAGCAGCTTTTCACAAGGCCAGCTTTGACTAATCTGGTGCTCTCCAAATGTGTTGGACTACAATCCTAGCATCTAATGTCTCTGGAGGCACCAAATTGAGGAATGCTACAATAGGCTTTGTTATTTTTCAATGTCTTTAACAATCTGTGTAAATGGAAGAGGAGAGCTGCTCTTGTTTGCATGGCAATCCATGTTATTCTTTGCCTATTTTTAATTACCTGTTTTTAACTGTTTAAAACTTTTTAATATTCTTCTGCTTTATGACACATTTATTGTATTTGTATCATTTGTTTTTAGGGATTGTGTAAACTGTCCAGAGAGCTTCAGCTATGGGGCAGTATAGAAATGAAATAAACCACAACAACAACTAGCAATGATGGGTTGCTGTGCTATGTGAATTCAAACCACTTCTTCCAGGGTGCCCTGTTTTTTTCCAGAAAGCTGGGATTGTTCAACACACAATGGTGGTCGTGTTGTCTGAATCCAGGTCCCCATGGGTTGTGGGAAGTGGTGAGCAAGTTACTTCAAAAGAGGCAAAACTCCCTTGACACTCTTGGCGATCTCGCCCATGCAGCTCCCAGTGACAACCCCTACAAAGTGGCTTGTTAAGGAGTTGGCTCTGGTTAGGTACTTTGTTTAAATTATGTTTTTGCATGTTGAGTGTGTGTGCATTTTATGTAATTTTAAACATTACTATTTTAGTCAGATTTGTGCAACTGCACAGATAGGTCTTGTGGTTCTGTAGGTCTAAAAATGGGAGGCCTCAGATGGACATTGTCCTGGAGACGTACCTTCTGTAAAAATGCTCCAGGTGCTTTCCCAGAACACTGACTCCAAAAGGCATCAACCAATTTGCTTTCCCCAACAAGCCATCAAGTGAAAACAAAGCTGACAGAGAGCATTCCTCATGAAATGTGGGAGTATTAATATATTCCCCACTCTGCATTGTGATTCTCAGGGTTTTGAGTTCTCCTGTGCCACCTCACACCATAGGTTCCAGTACATCTAACTTTTCAACCAGTTGCTGTGCTTTTAACTGCTTGGGAGGCTAGAAAAGTGCATCCATCCCCTGCTCACACATGCTTTTGACAGTTGTCAGCAGCAGGGGTTTCTTTGAAAACAGTTTAGGGTAGTTCTCGACTAGGCAGTTTAGACAGGGAAATACTTATCTGAAATGGGACAAAGTCTAGGGTTGGTGCTTTCTGCACAGTAACATTGGCCAAAGGAGTCTTCCCGTCTTCATACTCATTGGAACTGTGTACCTGTGCAATTGAATGGTTCCAATAAAAATGCAGCTTAAAATAATGAAAAATTACACATATTTGTGCTGCAAAATATTTACAGAGAAACTGGTCAACTGGTAACAATTCCTCAAAAGTACATCTTGGGCCCCTTGGAAGGTCAGCCACTGACAGTCAATTTGGAACTTATTCACAATCTCGAGAAAAGAACAGGAGGAAATCTGCAGCTAGCCAAAATAAAATAATATCCAGTCATGGCAGGAGGAGGATGCAAAGTGGATTCAGCAGCTAATCTGATCTGATCATGGGATGGACACACCAATTTTTTCTGGCAACAAAATCACCCAGGTAGTTTAGCATGATATACAAACCTGCCCTCTGAGTCTGTGCCGTGCTGCTGCTGGAGCATATTGCCATGTGTTTTTGTATATGTTGTGGTGGTGTGTGTAGCGACCCACTGTATCTTGTTTGCATTTACCTTGCTACAGTGCCTTTGCATCCACTGCTGGGCTTGTATTTGTTGCTGCCCATGTTTGTATATGATACATTGTCAACAAATTATGTTGATGCAATTATTCATCTGCTGTTAGTATTTAATTCAGCCAGTTTACATAAATAGCAAGCATTCCCATGTGTTATTTTAACAGTAGCTCTTCAGAGTTCTTCAGTGGCTTGACCTTACTCCATTAACAAGTAAAGGCTTACATTTTGGCATAGACAGGAGCAGTTCAGCATACAACCCGGACTAGGTAGTTGCCTGAGGATCACAATCAAAAGAACCCCTTTTATGCCAAAAGAATTAGGACTTCTAGCATGTCTGGGCTCATGTCTTGAGAATGTTACATCAAGCTACAGAAGGACATACAGAATCGGCACAATAACACACTAACATTCCAGTGTTACTAATTTGCTTAACTACTACAGGAGATTAACATTTGCTCATGTTAAAATTTAATATACCTGCCTTTATGGTGTTTAGAAATTATGCCTTATGTATTGAAAAAACAGTTCCTGACAGTGAAATGGAACATTTATTTGGCAGTACATAAAAATATTCCATAATAATTCATGAAATACATGTATGCATAATATATTCAACTGAAATTGCTGAATAAATACTGTTCCTAGAAGTCTATGTTTGAGCATTCATGATAGTTATCTATGGATTTTATGATGTAAATAAAGAATACGATTCTGTGCAGAATAATAGTAAAATGTATCAGCTTAAAATATTAATATTTCTCTTTTTAAAAGATCATTAAAATATTTAACCTTTAAAAAGTAGTTAAATTTGTTGGCAAAAGTTATATTAATGCCACATTATGGATTCAGGACAGTAAACATACAAACAATGTAAACTTATGTAATAATTTCTATTGCCATTATAGGCATTACCTTAGTCTTATTCCTGCTCTACATGAGATAGTAAAATGAATTACAATCCCTGTAAAATTTAAAATATTCATCCAGTAACTGTGGGAACTTTGAAAAGAAGTTCTACAAAATCATTGAAATATATGCTGTTAATATTTATTGGAGATGA